TTGTACAGTGCAAAATGTTTACTTGTTTACTGAGCGATATAAACTCTTTTTGCAGAAGGTGAAATAGCCATGTTATGGTTTTTATATCACACTTGTCCCACCAGTTGAATCCCTTCAACATGTCTTTTTGTATCAACTTCTGCTTTTTTTTTTTAAATTTTTTTTCTTTTAGTTTTGTGGCATTTGTACTCACCATATTTCCTATCACATTTAAGTTATAATAAAGATTATTTTTTAATTACTAAGCACATCAGTCCATATGTATAGTCACTCTTTCCATAAGCAGCCTCTCCACTGTCACACTCATAGTTTAGGTTCAGAGCATTCAAGATACTTATCAAAAAAGGCTCCACAGGGTCTAGCAGAAAATATGCTGAAGAGGTTTATTACCAAACTTCTGCTGATTACTCTTCCCTTTTGTGAAGACAGACTCTCCTCTGACAGAAGACGTTCCTTTTCCTCTTACAAACATCGAGGTTTACGGCACACACTTCAGGGAATGCAGAACTGCGTATGGAGCACAGAGTCAAAGCTGCAGAGAGCATGGGGCAGCTCACATATAGAGGTACCGTGCCAAAAGGAGTTTATATGTCATTTCATTGTGGTTTAAAGCCACCCTCAGGGAAGTTCATTAGCCTAAAGCTGATATCCTACACCGTTATGACTATTAAAAACCATGGATATAGCTCCTAAGAACCAGATAGGAAGGAGAAAATCCTGCTCTCAATAAAGTCAGTAAGGGAATCCACAGGAATTTTAGTAAGACAAGGTTGAACCTGGGATACAGATGCATAGGGGCTAAATTTCACTTTGAGATTAATACTGTTTTAGAAAACTAAATAAAACTATCATTTTCTAACATGATTCATTACAACCGTCAGAAAGTTAACAGACCTTAAAACTTCCAAAACCTGAAGGCAAATAAAAAGGAACAAACCATGTATTTGTCTCATAACATGTATGTTTTTATGCTCACAGAGCTGACAACGCTGCCTTTTCCTAGCACATTAATGCAAGAGCTCTCCTTTGTGGAGTAGGAAAAATCAGATGCATAGAGATGATTGTCACAAGACGGATGCTTACCTACTAGCAAAGAAGGAACCAGCAGGCAGTAATTACCAAACCTTTTTCTTAGGGCTGCAGCAGGTTGACTCAAACAAACTTAAAGGTTTGGGCCACCCAAGAAAAGTATGTTAGGAAAACGTTCCTGTACCAAAGTAGCTCAGTGCAGATGGAACAGATGGGGAACTCGCCAGAAGCACACTTGGGAAAGGGGCTTACCTGGTGGTGGCTTATCCTCACCTGATGCTTTTCATGAGCTATAGTGGTTTTCACTACCACTGCTATGTTCTCACTGTCTCTCTGCATTTTGCCCATTATATAGAAACCCATAGTACCTCTATACTGCTCTAGCTACAGGAGCAGCATAAGTTAGGCTGCACAGTTTCACACTGATTTTGGCAAGATTCCTCCTGTGCCTGCTATACCTTCAGAAAAGGTATCCTCTATAGCTTGACCCTATCCCTGCAGCCCATTTTGTACAGATTAATGCTGACTTTAAGCACTGAAAATTAGGAGTCAGTAGAACTGCCAGACTCTGTATGGCTCCCTGCTTTGCTGATTTGCAATGGAATTATCCTGAGGATAGGATCTGCAGCACCCCACTTCAAATGGCTGTAGTGCCCCTGGGGGTATGATAGGGGTACTCTCACACCCAAGGGTTTGACCTTGAACATGGCCCAGTCACATTTCATTACAGGCAGCTGCTGGCAGATCAACAAACAGCAGCAAACCAAGGTTCCTCAGAATACCATTGTCATTTGCTGAACTACTTTGTGATAAGAATAGAAAGAGAAATAACACACAATAAACATTTTCTGCTGAAGAAAATGCTGATGGTAACAATACAATAGTCTTAATAACAGTGGGAGCACAGGAAACACATGGCCTTGGCAGATTTGCACATCTTCTGCTCAAATCCAGTTCTGAGACCAACCTGACATGGCCTTTGAGGAAAAGTAAATGAATATGCATCATGCTTCCTTGGGAAAAAAAAAAAAATGACCAACTTCATTACTTATGCAGAGGCTGCAACACACAGCAATGCTGCAGGCACTCACATAAGCAATCCAGTGCCATACACCAACTGAGTTTCAGCTGCTCAGCCAAGCAGTTGTGGTCTAATTCACTTGTCCACACGATGTCTTCACTACAATAGGTGTTTACAATAAAATTGTTATTTTTGCAAAATCAATTATGAATTTTTCCTCACATAAACCATCCACCCACCCCATGGTTTGCTTGCCCCTACTAGTACTTGCACAGCTGTTCCTTTTTGAAACATCTGACACCTGCAAACAGCCCATCTCCCCACACTTTACTCTTCCATGTCTGAAATTGTCCTGTTTAGACTTGCACATTTTATAGAAGTGCTAGGACGTAGTAGATGCAGCCTTAGGATACTTCAATGAAAGAGAAGGTTGTGTCCATATCCTCTGGAATGAAAAGGAGTCAGCATGCTGATTAAACACTGGTGTACAAAAGCATGATGACCTCTCAGAAAGAATCACATTCTGCAGTTAGGTTCTAGAACTGATAACTTTATTGTGCTAGATAGAACATTCTCTGTAATTCAGCTGGATATGAAATCTGTCTTTAGTGATGTTGATTTTCACCTGTTACATAGCTATGTTGCAGTGGTAAATGAGAGTTTCCCTACAAATAAAAATAAAATGTCAAATAGTTGTAAGAGAACTAATCACACAAATCTCTGTATAATTTTTACAGTTGACATGCCTTTCACACGTGAATACAAAATTCCTAGACTTACTATGTAACAATGCTACTGCTTGCATGTTTAAAAAGCACTCTGGAATTTTTAGAACAATAAACAAAACTTGACCCTTTTAGAACATTTTTAAACAGCAATTAACGCAGTATCATAAAACTTCTGACACCACTTTCATACATTACTGTAACTGATATGATAGGCATAGACAGTGTTTCATCAAGGTTTGTGACAAAGACAAAGCACACATATGGGGTTTATTACTATGGCACAGTTTGGCTCTCCTGCTTAGCCTTCTCCTGCAGCATGGTTTTTTTTCAGGAGTTTATACAGCAAACTATTCTCTCTGCTAACAAGTTACATTTAATAAAACCCTGGTAGTCTTGGTTTGAAGCACTAGGATGTATTACTGAATGGTACATGCCTTTTTGATGTAAGAAGTTATTCTATTGCAGGTGGACCAAATGCTGCAATAAATCCATAAGCCTACTTGAAGAACTCCCATGATTTATTCCTTACAACAGAAGTAAGGGTCCAGCTTCTCAAGGGACTGTCTTGTTTGTTACTTAAATAAAATCAATCCAGAAAAAGCACAAGATTTAAACTTAATAAGCGTTCTTCTTGAGCAACCTGAAGATAAGACAGATACACATACTGCACACAAATTCTGGATCAGTTGTTTTCTGGTAGTTCTGTGTTCCAACAAAAGCACCTGTATTATAGCAATTCACAGAGCAAGAGGTGAGATAGTGGAAGAGTTGCACTTGCTGTCTCTGTTGTATTGGTCTGCCTGGCCTGCTAGTTATGCCACAGTGCTTCCTTCCCTTCTACAGTCTCTGCAAATGCAATATCCCTGATGTTTAAAAATAAAGGCACCTCTGAAAAAAGTTACACTTAACTGTGAACAACCTAAACTAAATTGAACTGCATAAAAACAATTATATCAAGATAAAATTTATGTTTCCTTATCTACTATTGTTGAACTACTTTGTCAAGGAGGTTGCTTAGAATCTGAGACAGGAGAGGTCTAAGTCACTTCACAAGTATTATTCACTTCTCTTGAAGAGATAACCCAGGGTTCCCTACAAAGCAATTACCAAGCATTCAGTTGTTTTTCTTAAAGAAAACATAAATGCAAGTTAAAGGACACACCTTTATCACCTTTTCTGATCTGTGGTGGAAAGGAATATATCTAAGCACCCTCTAGAGCACAAACTGGAAGGTGCAATCTTTCATTTACCAAGTTCCTAAGAAAACATGATGCCTCATTTTCTAGTTACCATACTTGAGGTGAAATGGAAGCCAAAAAGGAATATTACTTCCTACAATGGTTTTGACATTCCCTGGATGTCACAACTGAAATCAGTTGCAAAACATCTGTTAAGTTACAATCAGCCACAGGGAGCAGGACAGAAGGAACCCAAAGGTGCCAATCTGGTAGCTCCAAAGACTCATTCATACATACCCTGAAGCAACCATCTTTGGCAAGGCCAGATAGCTCCACGAACCAGGATCTCCCTCTGCCTCCTGAAAGCCACTCAACTTTAAGCTATGGCAATGGCCACCATATCCTTAGAAGACCTTGTTACAGAACAACTGCAATTGGAAAACTTGTATCCAACCAACTCTCCAGCCACACCCCATGCAGGTGCCAGATAAGGTGCTCAAGATTTTAAAGACTGCTTTTTATTCATGTAAATTCTTCAGAACCTAACTACCTTGGTAATAAGGTGTCTCATCTCTGGGTAAATATCAGGCATTGACTTTGCTTCCACCATAGCTCTCAAGTTTAGGCTGCTTTGTCTCTACCTAATTTTCAGCACAGCTGCTACTGTGATCAATAACACTTCACCTTCTCTTTATAAGCCAATGAATGTACTAGTAAAAGAGATGGTCTAATACTTTCTACTTAAGCTCTCATCTCTACAACTTGCAAAATACTCCTTTAAAAGGCAGAGGAAATTATTTAAGACACCTGAAAAGCATAAATCTAACTAAACTTGAAATTTTGACTCTTAGTACTCATTCTTGTCTTTCTGAAGCCTCACCAAAAAAGCATACAAGTCTTTGCTTCCCCCCCATCCACCAAAAGTCACTCTGTTCTCCAGAATTCTGCAAATCTAAAGAGTTAAAAACTACCCAGGCACTCCCTAAAAAACTTGAAAGTTTCCAACTACAGGCCATTCCCCACTCAATTAAGAGGCTGTTTTGGTAAGGCAAAGATTTATTTATCAATGTTCATGAATTATGTCAGATAAGGTATTTACACAACAGTTGAAATTCACAGTATGTGCATTTCATACAAGTAACTAGGTGCAGCCTGTAGTAAGTTTTCCATGCAGCATCCAGATACTCCCACTGCCACATAATGCCAGTTAAAAATACCAACACCTGTAACACTTCCACAAGAGTGTCTATACCTGAGAAGGTGTAGTATATCCTTTTAAGAGGAAGTCTGCAATTAAAAGCCACATACATAAGCCTATTTAAAGGCTGTCATTCCAGTTGCAAATGGTTTGCTTCCTTTGAAGCAAGATCTGATCTATTCTCCCCTAAGCCAGATGATACTTGTGACAGCCCTTCCTCATCTCCACAGTTATGCTCTTCATTTTTTCGTCTGGATTCCTCCAGAGTCAGATTCTCCAGTGTCTCAAGATTCTCAGGTCCTTGACCAGTTAGCCTCTACAAAGAAACAGAGGACAGTGAACTTAATACTTTTTCTACTTAATAACCAGTGAAATAAGACTCTGCATACTGAATTAAGCAAGCTAATCATTTTCATTTGGAGGTTGTTGATATAATTAAAAACACTCGTCACTTACAAAAATCTTCATACAATTTCAACTCAAATTACTACCTCTAACTTGCAGACCACATTTGCTTTGTTGACTGTTAAGTTTTTCTTAGGTTCTTCAGTAGGATGGGTTACCTTAGGCAACTTAAAATATGGGAAGCTGCTTCCCAAGTTAAATATTTATTATAGTACCATATAGGTTTAATTGCAGAAAAAATTACTGTACAACCAATTAACTCCATAATTTTTAATCAGGGATAATGAAGCTACATTAAGACTAGATGAACTATAAGACTCAGCAGTTTGTAGCACTTCAAACTAAAAGTTCTTCACCCAACCTGATCTAAGGAAGATAAACTGGACTTTTACAGGCTGTTTTTGAAGCTCAGAAGTGAACTTAGCTGTTGAAGAACTGTACAGATGTTTCTAATTACATTAGTTCAAGTTTTCAAGTAATGTAATTTCAGCCCATAGGTTTATCACTAAAAAGCAGTACTCCCTGAATAGAAAAAAATTTTCAAGTGTAGCAAATAAGCAGTCTTTCAAGGCTGATCTAAATAACTGCATTAATTGCAAATTAATTTGACGAAGTTTACTTCTTGATTAATCAAGTTGCTTTCAATAATATTTCATTTTGTTTCCACCTCCCCAGTCTAGCCATCAGAGAATCAAAATATTTGCCTAGCTTTACATCCCAGTTGAGAGCTGCAACCCTGCAAAAATAAGCTAGCTGATAGCCATGGAACCTTGATGTTCAAGTTATCTATGTATTTATTACAGCTTCAGAGGCTGTTACAGAGAATCCATTCCTGATAGAGGAGCCATGGAATTAGTGACACAACTACCTATTCCCAAGGAATTCTCAGAGGGAACTCGAGATTTACACATTTAAGAACCTTACAGACTTTATGCATAGCCTTTTTTGGGCCATAAAACTGGCAATGCCTCAGTGAAACCTTGACTTTAAAGAACATAGTGTTCCTTTCTCCCTCTCACTGCTCTACTTGGTGTTCCTGTTTCAAGTTCAGTTCCTTAAAGGATACAGTACATACAGGCACTTCATTTAGCCAGCAGTCTCATACAACCTACTAAGTATATCTTATATATATATATATATATATAAGCATATTTAAGTCATCTCAAAAAAGTGAAGATGAACCCTTCCTTCCCTTGTCACCATCTCCAATATGCAAATGCTGTTAAAAGTAGATTGAATCCCCCCTTCAGAAAGCATCAATCTTAGTACTTTGCCATTACTCCTGTAGGTTCTAAAGTGGGAAAAACTCATCCCCTAGAAGGAGCTTTATGACTCTAGAATTAGAGCAATCCTGCAAGAAACAGGTCAGGCAGCATTTTAAAATGAAGAGTCACAAGAGCACACAAAACAGAAGTCATGATTCATTACAAAAACCTTTGCTGGTCTTTCACTTTTTCATTCTACAACATTAACTGAAAATTGCTTTAAGTACCTCAATCACACTGGTCATGTAATGCACATGTTCAGCAAGAGACATGAGTTCTTCATTTTCTTCTTTTAGGCGGGCAATTTCACCATCCTTCTGTTCGATTTCTTTGTGCAACTGGTTCAAATAACAAAATGTTAGAAGAGGAAGACAATAGCCAGTAGTGAAGTAGTTATCTTTCAGAAGCTACCTTTTCATTTTCTTGAAGCACTTCATACAGAGCCTTCCTCCTTTCTTCAGCCACTTCTTTCCAATACTGAGGTGAAGGACTTCCTGAAGTTATAGGCTACAGTAAGTCTGTGCTAAGACTGAAATTCTTGAGAACACCTGACAATATCTAACACACACAAGTATCCTATGAGCTGTGATACTAAGAACTCACTCCATATAGCATTTTCAGATCTTAGCTGTAAAACTACAACTAATTACATAACCTTACAGGAAATAGATGCTACACTGCATTAATGGCTATACAGACAGTGCCTTCACAAAGCTGCCTCAAGCATGGTAGCAGGCTCTGCAAGATTTGCAAATGTTGGTCTTACTGTGTACTTTGTGGGAGACAGAAGTCTTATTCCCAAGTTGCTGTCCATGCTGGGCATAATGGTTCTGAGAAACTGCACACACAGCACACTGTGCCAGAACAGGCCTTCATTTCAACTTAATTATTAGTCACTTGAAAGCTTATAGCCCAGCCAAGGTAACAAACTACAAGACTTCTTAATACTGCTGCACACAATGGTTCTTAGCTACTAGTTGCCATAAACTCAAATATTAGATATCTTAACTTTATTATACTACAGAGGATAAGTATTATCAATTCCTGCTAGGCATTACAAAAAGCCAAAAAGCTCTTATCTAAATGACAAAGAAATTGTTTCAATTGTACTCCAACAGCAGCATAGCACTTAAAGTGCAAGAAAACATTTCAGAAGTTACTACATACCTTTCATCATGAGATCTACATACCTTTCATCATGAGATCTACAGCTTGAATGACACCATCCTCATTTTCTTGCTCCTTGTCCACAGACACCTCAGCATTACAAGCCTTTGAGGCAAACTTGTTATTCCAGAGTTTCCTTTTGACTGAAGATTTCTTCTGTATAAAACACAGGCAGGTTTAGCTTCAGAGCAACATTTCAGCTTCTATGGAAATACAAACTTCTAAGTCTGCTCAATCATGACTGCAAATAAGTCTCTACAAGTCCTGCTTTCTTCACGTTATAGGTCTAGTTTACCAACATGCTCCTTGATATCGATAGATTTAACAAAACAAATGCCTCAGAAATTTTCCCAAAGTACTGGGAAGTTGCTAGTTTTTAATATAATTTATTACTAAAATAATAGAAAGCTTAAGCTGTGCCACACTAGTTAGCAGATTACACTTTTTCAGATATTTTTCAGCTAAAAGCTCAAAAGCATTTCACCATGGGTCAAAATAATTACACATCTACAGATTATCTTTTAGTTCATACCTCATTATATCTGCCAACCAGGCTACCTGCTGCTGAAGGCTGAATCATTTTAAGAGTCCGTCTTGGGGAAGCAGTGCATGTGGTATCTGTGAGGTATTTCTAAAAAGACAAATATGGTTCAGACAGTTGCCATTCCTCTTTATATAAACTGAAAATTAGGAATTACTCATGCTTCCATTATGATAACCCATGGGTATTCTTTTCAAGACAAAGATATGACACTCTGGTCTATGTTAATGTTTTTGTAAATAAGGGGATCTAGTTATTTGTAGCAGAGAGAGATCTTAATCTCATGAAGCAATGCTCAGTCCCTGCCTCTTAGAAAACACCCTTCATAACAGAACTTGAACAGGTCTTACAGCAGAAATATTCTGACTATATTTGAAGGTCAGTTACAGTGTTGAACTTCAGCTAAAACTCTGAAACTTGCATTTGAGAGCAGCAGCATTAGTCTTTTGGAGACAGAGAAAAAAGTGACTGCAGTTGCATGTTTAGGTGGTGAAGTTACACACATCACTTCAGGCAGTAACTGATTTTGTTACCCGAGAACACACCATCAAGTGGTGCTCACTTAAATAGCTGTGTTACTTTGATTATCCATTAAAATGGATCAAAAGTTTCCCTGCTTTGATCCAGACTATTGCTTTGTCTAAACCGTATGATTATCACCCCTCCTATCATGCATAAATACTTCTTTCCTGCATTAAGGTTTTCTGACTGGGTTGGTTACACTGCCACCATGGGATAGCAAACAATGGCAGACAACCAAGCAAGAATAGCCAGAACACAATGCCACACCAGCGTGAGAAAGTTACGATTCACACCGCACTTCGTATGACACAAGCTCGCCTTTCCCACGGTAGTTTCTGCCACCAATTATCCTACTGTTCAACTCAAGGACAAACATTAACTGCTGTGGGAACAAGAATCACACTGTGTGTCAGACACCACTCGCTGCTATTGAAGGTTAGTTAAGTACACTCTGCCAAGAAGTTATTGACCAATTCTGGAGTTAACCCATTGAAAGTGCAAAAAGCCACACCGAAGAATTTATACAGTAGAGACGCTACGGGACAAGACTGCTGTGTGTGTAAGTCAGACTTATCAATTGGCAATTTTCATTAATACCAGAGGTTTTCATTACAATCAATATGCCTCCTGGACTACTAGCCTCTATTACACATTGTATTTGTACAATTCTTATTAGGGCCTACGTTAAAAGGTTTACACAAGAATAGGTACAAACTTTAGTAACTTATCACTCAACCCTCAAAAACTTAAATCTTATAAGCATTTCCACCAATTCCAAGGTAACCACGATTCAGGAGGGTGACTTTAGAAACCAATCTGCCTGCTTGAATACTTCAGCTAAAGCATGCTCAAGTCAAGAGAGATTTAACTCTTTGTGAGTTCATCCCTATAAAGGACAGACTACAGAACCTACTCTACAACCCCTAACCAAACAGACAAATTCAGAAGGCAAAGGCACATAGCCAGTACCAAATAAACCCTGGAAAAATCACATGGAGAGACAGTAAGCTGAGTGTCAAAGTAAAAAGGACTTGCTGAGCAACAGGAAAAAAAGTAGTCATAAGCACATATGCCCAAGAAGGACAGCATGTTCCCAAGCCACACAAACGGCCAGGAGGCTACTCAAGCCAACTAAACATAAGTCAGGTAGAAGCACATTGCAACAGATTCCTTTGTATTTCTTCGGTGGATATAAAGCTTGCATCAGACAGCAGGTACTAGCTTCAAGGCCTTAAAGCCCATACCTGCAGAGATCCTGATGATTTTTCTGCAGGCAGTTTCTGTTTCATTTTGGAATGCATAGGATCAACTGCAAAACAACAAAAAGAGGTAAAAAAATAATATAACTTTCGGCTGCAGCCGAAGTTCGGGGGACACTAGTTACAGAACATTACAATTTCGGTTTATCAGCTTTTATGGCAGCATTAAGTACTCAGTCGTGGTGACGAGGCTCTTCTAGAGCCTCTCCTGGAGTTCCTCACCGAGATACGAGCTGGGAAGGCAGCGCCCCGCGTCGCCCTTACCGGCGCTGCCGCATGACCCTTCACGGACGGGCCTTCCCGCAGGGTTGGCGGGGGCAGGCCCAGCCGCACACCCAAAACGACCGGGAGTGGGGACATGGGGGACACACGAGACATCCCTGCCCCCCCGTCCCGTCCCGTCCCGCTCCCGCCAGCGGGGCGCGCACCACCCCTCCCTCCGCGCGCGCCGCCGCGGCCAATGGGAGCAGCCAGGCAGGAGCGCGCCAACACCCAAATGCGGCCGTGAAAGCCCGAGCGCCCGCTCCCCCCGCCCCCGCGGCTCAAGCAAGACGGAGAGCCCTGTCCCTCCCTCCCACTCGTCTCCCGATCCCGATCCCAGCGCCCACCACCGCCATTTCCCTCCCTCGCTCCGTCCATCCCGCTCACCGGCGGCCGCTCCCGCACAGACGCCCAAGCGCGCGCTCCCACCACCAGCACTCTTCGCGCGCCCGGCCCTCCCCTATAAGGAGCGCCGCGGTCACGTGAGCCGCCGGCCGCTTTCCGAGCCAATCACGGGCCACGCTCCCCCCCCGCTCCGCCGGCGGAGCCCCGCCCCGCGGGCCGTGGCGGGGGCTGAGGGCGGTGAGGGTTGTGAGGGGGAGCGCTGAGCAGTTCGTGGTCTTTTGGATTTTCGTTGGGTTGTTTTCTCTTTGTTTGTTTTTTTAATAAAGAAGTTGTACCAAAGCAAATTTAATCACCTCTCCGCTTTATTGTCATCACAATCTAAACACAGCACAATCTGCAAAACCGGGGAAGAAAATTTAAGAGTGTTAAGCCGCCATGCCTGATACACAGTAATAATTTTATACATGATACAGGCTACAGCTTTTATTAATTATGCCTGAAGTATGCCGTTAACTTTGTTAGAGGCCACTTGACACTAATGTTCCTGCAAGTATTTGCACATTTATCTTTTATTTATGTTAATAGTATCTTTTGCTAACTCCTGAGTAAACATTTGTAGAGTTAGGACTTTCCTTGTGATCAAGGTCTCGTAGAGCAGCTATCAACATTTTTCCCAAGCAATACGATGGAGCTATTAGAAATTAGGATAATTTCAGAGGGAAGTATTTATTTAGCATGCCACACTGTTAATCTTCTGTTTGGATTTAAACTGTATGGTACTTATCAAAATGTATTAAGCACGATGAAAGATGAAAAGCAGAACATAAAAAATTATGCATTAGGAAATCTTTAAACAAGAATAAGGAAATAAAGCTGATCTCTCTTTCATAAACTTGTGTAGTCTCCCATTGACCCATTTAAATTTGCATTGTCCACAATATCCTTTGGCAAGTACTTCTAGAGCTCAAATAACCAGTGTCTGAAGAACACCTTCCTTTTTTTTTTTTTTTCTCTTTGAACCTGATTCCTGTATTGGCTCTTAATGTCCCCTGTCCTTGGACTGGAAGAGACAACAAACAATCTGTCCTTATCTAGGCCACAATTACACAGTCTGCCCTCCAGTTCTCTCTCCCAGGTCTACTTACATATCCCTTACACGAAAGCTGTTCCATCTTCCTGCTCTTTTGTGAACTGTATGCCATTTGATTTGCCTTTTTAAACACTGCTGAACACTGGGCCGCACTCTTGTGGAAAAATCTGCCGTAACTCAGATCCTGTTCTTGAGTGATGGTCGGTTCAAAGTCATTTGATATGTGAAATTAAGATTCTTTTTCTTATGCTTTGATATATTCTTTGTTTATCTACATTGAATTTCATTGCTTTATTCATATGCTACCCAATTCCATAATGCCCTTCCGCAGTTTTCGTCAGGTTCGTTCCTACTATCTTGAATACAATAGTGTCATCAGCAAGCTGTCACCTCAGTTAGCTTTGTCTTCTATCAAGAAAATGAAAATAACACATACAGAATGTCTATCTAAATTAATATTTTTCTGCTACAGTACTAAAAAAAAGCTCAGGCTCCTAAGTTAGTTAAATTCTTGTGGATTCTGGAAGAAAATTTGAAATTTCCATATTTCAAAATACTAGCAGATATGCTAAACTCTAGTTAAATATATGCATAAAATCTTACAAGCATTAAATTTCCTTTCAGAAAAATCTGGATACAGGTAATGTGTACATAAACACAACATAAAAACATTCCTTTTTTAAATTTTATGTATTTTTATACAGAAATATAAAAATGCAATAAAACATCATATGAAACTTTTAAATTAGATGCAAGCATAGATTTATATGCACTGTGTGTATTTTATGGCTGCGATACAACTTTTCTAAATACTATGTTTTCAAGTGAAACTTTCTCAAATAATACCTTTTCAAGATTCGGATTTAATTCACAGAAAGTTTTCCAGTGGATTTACAGTTCAGAAATGGAATAACTGTTTTTAGAAATGTTGGTAATAGGAAAGGGCCAAGGTAATGGGATATGGTTCTGATGTGACAGTTCTGATTGTTTTTCCTTTTAATTTGTTCCTTGCTGGAGGCATACAGTCTGGAGGTTTATTACAAAGCTGTCACTCCTTCAATTTATCCATCTGAAGAACATGTCCTCTTATGAACCACTGTGTCTCTGAGTTCAGTTTCTTCAGTTCAAAAGGGTTGTAAAGAACCCTGTCACCATCTCAAAAAGAACACTGAGAGTTTATTATTAGCAGCCTATTATCTTAATTGTGAGAAACCAGTATAATTATATAAAAATCTCACAAAAAAAAAGTTACTTTATTGTAATAATTCCCATTTTGGTGGCCCAAGGTTAAATTTAAATAGGGATTAGGGCATTTTTACATGCAAAAATCTGTCAGCCCAATGCTAGCAGAATATATTTTTCTTGATTGAATGCAATATAATGCATTTCAGCTTGTTTGTTTCATAAAAAATAAAACTCTCTATCATGAATACTTATGACTATTTGCACTTCAAGTGAGCCTAAGCAAATACCCCGAGGTTTCCCACAGAGCTCAGCCAATTTGTTAGATTATTCATGGTAGCAGAGAATGTGTACTTTTTAAAGCTTTTATACTCCATTGCTACTGATAAATGTTATCAGTGCTTATAGCAAATGACAACTGGAAAAAAAGCCTTCTTGGATGACTTCACATGCCTGGGAACATAGGAATAGGTGGGAAGGCATTATCCGGTCTCCAGGTCCTGTCTTGCTTAGATGCCAGTGTGTGGAAACTTCCTAAGCATTGCACAGAGGGAGTCTGGACTTGGCTATTAGAATCAAGTGCTGGCAAAACTGTATTTCTTCTTGACAGTCACACTGTGACTTTTGCCAAGGCCTTTATTGTACTCTGCAGATAATGATCTCTCTCTGGGGTGCTTAAGGACTCTTTATTTCTACCTTCCACATTAAGGACAGCTAAACGACATCGGAACTTTTTTTGTGTGTGTATGTTAAATTATTACATAAATATCATGTAAGCAACGACTATAACTTTGAGATGCAGAAAACCACCATGGAGAGGGCCAGGAGAGCCAGTGCAGTGCTGAGCCTCTGACACACATGAACGTCTCTTCTCAGTCCTGCTCTGGGTTCAAGCCCTGCAACAAGGTCTGGGGAATGTCTGAAGATGGCTTTGGGCTCTCTGAATCAATAAAAAAGGCCTGTGGCTCTCACTGTCCCTCGCTGCTGTTTCTCTTGGCCCTTCTGTTCAATATTTATTTAAGGGATGAAAGGGCTCCCAGCCATCCACCGGGTGACAGTAGATGGCAGCGTGGCATCATGCTTCCCCTCCCTTAGCCTCTTGTTTCTGGGGTGTTTCATCGTACAGAAGTGTGTTACCGACAAGAAATTAAAGATTTACCTCCTTTTCACTAGGTTAATCAGTATGGATGGCTGCATGCTAATGAAACTCTGCATAAAGAAACTATTATATGCAGAGCACAATCTAGGTACAATTCATAATGCAAACCCATTTTAATTATATCCAGAGAGTACACAATTTTCTTGTATTAGAATGAAAGATTGTCCTGTGAATACTGATCCTTAGTGCTCTGGAGGTGAAAGGTTAAAAGAAATATCTACATCTCACCTAGTGATTTTTTTCCCTAGTTAATAACCTTGTGAGTCACTAAGACATCCCTTAAACACTGTTAGGTCCTAACCTACTCAGCAACGGATTTACCTTGAAAAAAACATCATTTATGTAGTGTTTTAAGATTTAAAAATTAAAAATTCTCTATAAAGGCTAGGATTTAATAATCTAAAACCACTTCCAAATCTGTTGACTACAAGTAAATAGAATATTATTTACAGACTGAACAAATAAAACAAGTTGTTTCAAATTTTACCCTTACTCTTGCAAGCACCTGCTGACAAACACAAAACCTACTTCGGAACATCACTATTTTTGTTTTTTATAGAACAAACCAGTCTAAAAAAGACAAATACATTTGCACACCACTAACTGAGAACATAAGTTAAAGGTGACACAGCACAGTGAAAAGAGCCAATAGTGTTTCAGATACCAAAAACTTCGTCCAATGGAAGTTGAATCACAAATTTATGTACAAAGCACAGGCAGGGATCCTTGTTTTTAATGTATATTTCAGACATTTTTAAAATAAATGTAAAGTTTTAGAGATGGAACATGCATTTGTTACACAAAAAAAATGGCCAAGCTATTAAAGAAATCATAACTTCAATACTCAAAAGTGGCAATTGGTTTGATATCTTGTTTGTGGAAGTTATTATCTCAGCAAAGGCACTGAGAACCTTTAGTTCATTTTAGTTATACTCCTAAGTGTCAGGAAAGCACAAGATGGACAAGCAGAAAATGAAAACACAGATAGTCAAGCATATTTAAGTGTGTATGTATATACATACACAGACACATAATTATTAAGATGTAACAAATCCAGTAAGATAGTAGGTAAACTTTAACCAAAGTTTAGGATCAATACCTCACGTGTCCAAGAACGTGTATCCCATTTCATGACCGAGAACCCCGCAACTATAAGGTGGGACACAGGGAAGTTGTGAATGAAACTTAATATTCACTGCAACAGCTGTGCAGTGGTGTGCTAGTTTTGGCTGGGATAGAGTTAATTTTCTTCTATCCATGGCTGTCCACCACAACAGTTGGTGGACAGTGGTGGACAACCCAAACCATTCTATGATTCTGTGATTCTCATTGGATATATAGTTGTTCAGAACATGACGTAAGGAATGTTGTACTCATTAAACACTGACATTTCTTTACACAAAAGCATTCCTGTTATGCCTTAGAAACGAATGTTTTCTCTGAAGGCAGAAAAGAGTTATTATTTTCTAAAGTACATGAAAGAGTTTTAATTACCACCTAATTTGTCTTGTTTAAATTTAAAAAGAATACTAATTTATTTTTGTCTGATGCATAAATATTTGGCACTGAATTAATCAGAGTACTGTTTTTGAAGCAAGTAGCTTCAGGGCTGTTACTCCTTATAACATATGCAGCCAGTACAATATGCGTGG